GAGAGCAGTGAGGAAGAGAGAATGGTGCGAGATGAGAACCGAGGCCATGTCAAGTAGGGCACTGTAAGCCAGGCTGAGATGTTTGGTTTCTATTCTAAGATCCATGGGGAGCAGTGAAAGAATTTTAAGCAGGGGAATCACATTATATAAATTATATTTTAGAATAAACAACCTGGCTTCTCTGTGTGGGGAGAGAACAAACTGTAAGAGGAAAGGTGGAAGCAGAAAATCCAGTGTAAAAGGCTACTGCAAGAGTCCAGGAAGTGATGAGAGAGGATTAGACCAAGGTGGTAAAAGTGGAAGTGGTGAGGAGGGATTAGATCTTGGATTGCTTCTAAAGGTAAAGACAGCAGGATTTGCCAAGAGATCAGAATTAGGGCATGAAAAATAGGAGGCTTGGCTGACCCCCAGGTTTTTAGCCTGAACAGCTGGAAAGATAGAGTTGTCATCAGCTGACATGGGAAATACCGCATTCGGAGCAGGCGTGAGGCAAGATCAGGAGTTTGTTTTTAGATGTGTTACATTTGAGATGCCTGTTAGACATCCAAGGTCTGGTATGTGTCCGTTGGGTGAACAGTTGGGGACCAAGTCTGAAATTCAGGGGGTGGAGGGAGCTCTGGGCTGGAGACGTGGATTTGGAGATCATCAGAGGCAACAATTGAAGCCGTGTGTGTGTGGCCAAGTTCTTTTCCCAGAAGAATTGATTGCCTTCAAATGGATCAGTGGGAGTAACTGAGGAAAGGAGAGGGAGGGAGAGGGTCGGAGGCAATAGTTGTGCCATGCTTCCAGCATGAGTGCTTTGGGATGTTTGCCAGTCTGGTGTAATTATAATTTTTCATTTATCTTATTGCGAGTGAGCTTGAACAATCTTTTCATAGATTGAAAGGTATTTGCAGTTCTTTTCTGGGAATTTGTGTCCTTTATCCATTTTTTATTGGGTTGTTGTACTTCTTATGGATTTTTAGGAATTCTTTATATATTAGCTTTTTTAAAAAAATGGAGTCTTGAGGATGAGAATGATTCAAACAGTTGCGGTGCGTGTACTCATTCAAGCTGCCAAGGTCTGGTCAAACCCTGTTCTAGGCATTAGAGACACAGTAGTGAAGAGGCAGACAAAAAAGTCCCTTCCCTTGCAGGGCTTTCATTCTAGTGAAGGAGACAATATAGAAAAGCGAGAAAATATATAGTATGGTAGAAGTTAAGATGAGAAGTGTTATGGAGAAAAGTAAGGCAAGGAAGGGAGCATAGGGAGTGTGGCAGGTGACGGTTTGGAATTTAAAATGAGGTAGCCAGGGCAGGCCTCATTGGGGAGGTGACATTTGAATGTTCAGATGACATGTCTCTTTCAGTCTGCAACAGTTCTTCATACTTTCCTTGATCTTCATGACCTTGACACTTTTAAAGATTGCAAGCCAGGAATTTTGTGGAATGTTCCTCAGTTTGACTTTTGTCTGATGTTTCCTCATGGTTAGATTCAGGTTCTACAGCTTGGATGTGTTGTCTCCTCATTTCATCCTGGCAGATGGCTCATGGTTTTAGTACTGATACTGTTCACTTTGTTCCCTTTATTAAGATAGTGTCTGCCAGCTTTCTCTATTATAAAGATGCTATTTTTCTCTTTGGAATGAAGTATCATATATCTTATAGGAGATACTTTCATCTATGTAAGTATACACTGTTCCTTTATGAAAGTGTAATCACTAATGTAACTACTTGTTTTCGTAGCCATAGACTTTCTAACTCCATCATTGTTCTGTAATTGTTGACATTCTGCTGTAAAGAAGTTATTTCTTTCCCCCTCATGTACTTTTATTCGTTGATTTATTTAAGTATAAATTCAGGGATTCTTGAACCTTATCAAATACTTTTTCTGTGGTTGAGATTATTATATGTTTATTTACTTTTGGTCTATTAATGTAGAGAACTACATATATAGCTTTCTTGATGTTGACTTACTTTGCATTCCTGGGATAAACTATTTGATCAAAACATGTACTATTAGATTCATTTAGCTTTTATTAAGGATTTGTACATCTACAGGTATAAGTGAAATGGGCTTGAAATTTTTCTCTTCTTGTACTATCTGTTTCAGGGATCAAGATTATACAGGCCTCGTAAAATATCCATCTTCTGTTCTTTTTCTAATATCTAGAACAACTTTTTTAAGATAGCAATTAACTGTTCCTGGGAGTTTGGTAGATCACACCTACAAAAGCAATCTGGGTCCTTTTGATGGTGGGGAGAAGGGAAGCTTATTTATTACTTTTTGCTTTAGTCAAGCAATCTGTTTCTTCATGAAACAGTTTTGGCATTTTATATTTTTCTAGGAATGCAATCTAGATTTTCAGATATACTTCCATTATTTTAAAAAGCCACGTTGCATCTGTAGTAAATTCCCAATTTTGGATTTGGTTTATTTGCACCTTTTATCTTCTTTAATTGATCAGTCTTGCCAGAGGTCTACCTTTCTTCTTTTTGTTTCGAAGATTCTGCTTTTGATTTTATTAATCTGCCTTTCCCTGCATTTCATCTATTTCTACTCTTATTTCCTTCCTTCTTCTTGAAGTTTCCTCTGGTGGTCTTTTTTCAACTTTTGTACAATTTACATGAGAAAATGCTCAGATTTTTCACTCTACAGCTTGTTGTTTACTCAAGTATACACCCAGTGTGACTAGCACCCCGGTCAAAATATAGAAACTTTTCATTATTCCAGAAAGCTCTTTACAGTGAATAATACCCTTCCCACCTCCACCCTGTTGACTGCTGTCACCATAAATGTGTTCCATCTGATTAAGAACTCCACTTAAGTAGACTCATAGTCTGAACTCTTCTGTGCCTTACTTTTTGCACTCGACATGTGAGATTCATTCATGTTGTTTATATCAGCATTTTGTCCCTTTTCATTGCTGAGTTATATTCCATTATGTGAATAGATGTAATTTATCCATTCTTCTCTTGTTGGATGTTTGGGTTATTACCAGTTTTGGGCTACTATGAATACAACTGCTATGAATATACATATAACAAGTCCTTTTGTTGACACATTTGCATTTGTTTGGGGTAAATATCTAAGAATGGAATTGCTGAGTCATAGGACAAGCATATGCTTACCTCTATAAAAAAGTCAGTTTTCCAGAGTGGCTGTACCATTTATTACTGCCAACCACGTATGGGCGCTCCTTGTTGGGGTCCTGTGATAAGAGCCCTGGAGAGGATGGGGACAAAGGTAGACCCAAATGGTTCTGGTGGGGCAACCCTGGGACCTGGGATTGGCAAGCTGTGCTTTTCTCTCTACCCCTTGGGGTTATCAGCACGTTGAGAACATAGTCTACTGGAGCCAGAGTGCCAATTGTCCTTCACTTGGAGATGCCCTCGGGCATTGTCCCCAGACCCAGAGAGGGCTAAGTGCAATTTAACCTTGCCACCACAGAGCAAGTACAGCTGCGGGGTGGCAAGGCCAGGGGATACAGTATTTGCAATCCTGGCTGTGACCCAGGGGGACTTCAAGCCCGATGGTGCCCTGGTAGTGCTGCATTTCCTGGTACAGCATGACCTGCTGGCCCCAACAATGATGAAGGACCATGACCAGGATCTTGTGGGTTGGTACACAGGCCAGAACCCTCTGTTCTGCATCCCCTTCCATTGAGCTAGTAGTCACCATGTTCTAGACATTGTGAATGCTGCCACTGCCACTCACCTTGGTCTGACAAGGCCCCTTTTTTGTGTTTATGTCCCTGTGTCTGTGTGGGCCACAAATCACGCTGGGACGTAAGAAAGAGACATGTAAGCTGCAGACTTTTCAGCTTTTATTACAAAAAGAACATATTCCAGCCCGGTTGTCCAACAAAAGTCACCAACTCAAAGTCTGACTTGGTCAGGGTCTCTCTAGCTGGGAAGTGGGCTGGTAGGCAGGTACAGGGCCCCAATCAGATCACCTAACATTTCATTCTCTTCTGTCTGAGGCTAGACAACTGACAGATGTAGAAGCAGCTCTTGTAGTTCTTTACTGGGCTTCGTTGAAGCGGGTCACCATTGTCTTGTGCAGTGTCTCCTTGTAGGACTCAGTTGAGGTAACCCCATAGGAGCTGCCTCGGGCACCCAAGCCGGAGCCCCGCACCCGTGTCTGGGCCTGTATGAGGGAGGCAGGCTCTGTCAAGGGTCTTGGGGCAAGGTGGGGCTGCAATGGAGAGAACTGGAAGATGGGGATGAGATCATGGGAGACTCACCTCAATGGGCGTCACAATGCCCTGCTTCTTGCGGCCCAGGCCACTGCCCTCTTTCCAGCCCATGGCCTGGAGCATGCGACTGCCAATGTTGTCACTGCCCAGCCCGTCCCGCGTGGGCTGCTCAAAGTCCCTGCAGGAGACAGTGGTACAGCATTGAGTGACTGGCCTGCCAGCCCCAGGCCCCCCACCTGGCCTTGGGCACTCACACGGAGGCTGCAGACATGCCACCATACTTCCTCCTCTTGGGCTCTGGTGGCTCAGGGATGCCATACTTCTCTCTGCGTTCAGCTGCGCGGTCCCGGTACTTCATTTGCTGAAAGTTTGTGTGTGAGAGATGGGGGAGGTGGTCACTACTAGCAGAAAATATGGGCACAGATGAGTGTGGAGTGGGGGGCCCATGAGGAACTGGATCTAACAGGTCTGAGGTCCTGTAGCCAGCATGGGAAAACTGGGAAGAAGCCTTGCAGGGACAAGGCATGAGATGACTGATGGCAGCTAGAATGTACCCAGCTGAGGAACTTGAGCACTAGCTGTCTGAGGGAATGGGCACTTGGCAAGGGACAGATAGGATGGAGCCCAGGAGTGAGTCACACCTTACCTCCATGTCATTCTTCTCAAGTGCTTCTAGTTCATTTTCTGAGAGGTGAGCTCGCCGGTGAATCTCAAGGTTTTGCTGCAAGAAGATAGGAAGAATGAAGGGGCTGGGCTGGGCTGGGCCAGGGCTCCCTGTCAAGCCTCCCTCAGTCACCTTGTGAAGGCCGGAGAGCTGCTGGTGCCGGATAAGTGCTTCTTTGCTGGGGAACTGGCGCCGGCAGAGCAGACAGGCCAGCTTCTGCCAGTCAGTTAGCTTCTCCTCCCGTTCTGGGCCCCCTCGTTCCTGCTCTTCCTCACTGTCACTCTCCCCACTGTAGGCTGCCACCAGCCCCCGAGGTGGGCTCTGTTGAAGGTGGGAGGAGTAGGAAGTCAGGGCTGGCAAAATCAAAGCCCCTGCTCCTCTTTCTACCCTGGACACTCACTGGACGGTCGTCGCTGGCCAGTTTTGGGAGGTCCATGCTGGTGTGCTGTCTCTCAGCTAATGCTCCCTGGGGTAGAAGGACACAGAAATTCAGGGCCTCCACAGAGGGAATGGAGGGATGACAAGTTTGGGTTGAGGGGTGCAAACTGGTAGCCACAACACACCTTCTTCTCCAGGATGGCGTAGCCGGCATCTGCGGTGGCCGACTCCCGCCTTTCATCATCTCGCAGGGAGCTGATAGGCTGGAAGCTGTTTTTGAAGTTTTCTTTTTGCTTGTTGAGACTCCGGGCCCACCGTTCCATGTCCTTGGCAATCTAGGGGCGAGGGTGGGGGGTGAGACTCTAAGGAACCCAACAACTCCATCCACTGCCCCACTGCCTCTGCTGCAGACCACTCCACCCTACCCCGCACCTCAAGCAGGTGAGAGAGGTGGCAGTGAGAGTTCCCATTTCTGTCATACTGTCATCAATGTTCCGCATCAAGCCCCGATTTGGCTATGCCCGATACTGACAGGCACCCACACCATTATGTTCCCTGTGTGTTTTCAAAATGTTTATCATTCTAAAATGCATAGGATGGCTTTCTCTGTCTATAATTTTAATTTACATGCACAACACTATGCCACATTCCATATTATATTGTTTCTACCCCCAGGCACACCACCATTTTTTAGAATTTTACCAGGTTGTCAAGTTCTTGCTTCCAAGGGCTAAACACAGACTGTTATATTCTTCCTCTAAAGACAGACACTGAGGTTCCCTCCAATTGCCCCCCTACCACAAAATACTGCAATAGGCTGTTTTCCTGCCCACCCCCTGTTGGGCCTTCAAGAAGTTATCTGGGATATATCTACATGTAGACACAGAGGACACACCCCCATGAGTGGGGTTCTGGGCCCAAAGGAATATGCATGCCCATCTGTTTCCACAGGTAGGGCTAGCCTGGCTTCTGGCATGCTCACACCAGCCCGCACTCCCACCAGCAGCGTGAGGGATCCCACTGGGGGATAGGAAAGCTAACAGGGTTCATGTAGATGATAGTAGCCACCTCAGGGGGGTGGGTGGCCCTGCCTTGTACTGAGGAGACTGTCCTGGCTCAAGGTCATGCAGCAAAGAGCAGAGCTGGACCAAAAGCCTGGTCTCCCTTGAGCATAATTATTACCCACACACACATCCAGCCCCCACCCACTCCCTCAGCAGCAGGGGTTAACAGGTGGCAGAAATGCAGTCATCAGAAGACACTAAATAGCAAGCCAGTGACTCCGGGATCTTGGTGTTCACCTGTTGGGCTGTCTTGGTCTTGTGCTTTTCCTTCTTCTCTTTGCCCTCCTTGGAGGGTGCCCCCGTTTCCTTATGCCCGTCAGCTGACTGCTCCAGCGCAGGAACGTAGGTCCGCCTTTCCCCATCCCAGTACAGGTACTGCTGGCTCTGAGCATTATAGTAATACTGGAGGACGGGGGAGAGGAGGCATGAGGTAGGACCTCAAGAAGGGGAACTGCAGACCCCACCTGCTCCCTGAACTGCCCCATCACCTGGGAGTTGGGGTCATAGTAAAGGCCGGTCTGGGGATCGTAGTAGTAGCCGGATGTCTCATCATACTGGTAGGTGGAGACGTCAGGAACAGCTGGGGAGTCAGAAGTGGGGGTCACACACCTCCCTGCTTTATTAAGGAACTCCCTACCACCCACCTGCAGGCTGGGGCTACTCACGGTACTGGCTGTAGGACTCTTGGGCAGTGGGGCTGGTGGCTGGTGGCAGGGCAGAGCTGGGATGGGTAGGGCTCTGGAGCTCAGATTTGAGCACAGCAGGTGACATGATGGTGTATGACTGGTCATGGGCCAGACAGGGGAACAGGATTCAGTCTCTGCCAATGCCTGCTGTGTCCACCCTTGCTCCCAGGATCTCCCTTAAGCTCCCTCACCTGGCTATTGGCGGCAGTACCCTGACTGCCGCTCACCTCAGCTGCTGACTGCTGGTAGATGCCAGGGGTGGCACCAGGTTGGGCACGGGAGAAAGCCTGCAGTGACACAGAGTCTGCTCCAGGCTCCAGGGAGCCTTCAGCACCTGTAAAGATGGAGAGGGAGGGAGAACACCTGTGAATGGCAGGGCCCAGGACCCTATGCCTGTCGGCGCCCACATGGGATTGAGGAGATGCTGGGGCTCACCTGCTCCGGCTGGGTCCCCTTTGGTTCCAGTGATGCCAGGGCCCTTGGTGCCCTTGAGGTAGCCATGGGCATAGAGAGAGGACTCTGTGCCCTGGCTGCCGCCATAGCCCTCATCCTGTTGGTAGTAGCTGTAGTCGACCGGTGGCTCCTCGGGGGTGGCCCAGGCACCCTCCCCACCCTGGGAGGCCTGAGGGGCAGGTGGGAGGGGCTCATTAGCAGATGAGGGAGTGTGAGGGGAGGGGAACCTGCTAAGAAGCGGCTGCCCACAGGTGAGGCTAGAGTCTGTCTACTGACAGAAAGCATGCAGCCCTCAGACAAGTGAGACTCGAGGGCTGCCCGGCCACAGCAGAGCAGGGCAGCAGCAAAAACAAGACAGTAACAAAGACACATGCCAAAATGCTCCCAAGGCTGACACTGGTCCATGTGTTGTGTGTTGGGCATCAGACCAAGCGAGATACAATCCTCCCTTTAGTCTCATCTCCCAATTTTCTTTCAGCTATTTATAAATTCTTTTTTATTAAAAAAAGTTATAACTCAGGGCAATAAAATAACCACCAAAGAGGATGCCACAGTGGCATCGACAATGAAAGCCTTGAAGGAGGTGACTGGGAAGGGAGCTGTAGCGAGGCCCCAAGAGCCCACAGCAGCCACTGTGAGGGTTCTAGGTACACAGAAAGTCAAAATAGCAAGCCAGCCCTCCTGTTCACAGAGAGGGTACAGGAGGATCGAGGCGGCCCAGGTATTGGGATGGTGGGGCAGAGGGGAGTCTTGAGTACCTGTGAGATGGCCCATTGGGCCGCAGCAATGGCAGTGCTGGCCACAGAGGCAGCATTGATGCGACTGCCCTCATTGGAAGCCATGTCCCTGGGGAGGATGTCAGAGACTGGGAGTGAGATGGAGGACCCCAGCTGGGGGACAAGCTGGGGAGGGACATAGGTGGGGCCCTGACCTCTTAGAACCCTTGGCAAATTCAACGTTGATGGTCTTGCCATCGATGGTGAGTGGTGGGTGCAGGGCCTGTAGGATCTGCAGCAGCTGGGCTGCCTCCTGGGAGAAGAAGGGAGGCAGAGGCAGAGGGGTCAGGCCCGGGGAGGCCCCCGGCTCTATTGCCCCACTGCCAGGCGTGGGGCCGCGGTGGGGGGCTGGGGTCAGGATCCCTCCTCCCCACCCTGGGGGCCGGGACGCTGGCTGCCCGGCCCCCCCTGTGCCGCCCTCACCACGATGGTGGAGAGCTGGATGAAGGCAAAGCCGCGGTTCAGTTGGGTCTGTTTGTCCTTGATGACGCGCACATTGGAAGAGGACAGCACTGCGTAGGGTGCTAGGGCCCCCAGGATGGAGTCCATGGTGCTGTGTGGGTTCAGGTTGCGCAAAATGATGGCTGTGGGAAGGGGCCCAACATTAAGGGTCACCCCTGATACTCTGCTCCAGCCCTAACCTCTGGTGGCTCCCCCACTGCTCCCTCTCCTCTGGCCTTCACATCTGGCACCTGCTGCTTCCTCTCCCTTCTTCTTCCTGGACAAACTCTGCTTGTCAGTTGCAAGTCCCAGCTCAATCGCTTACCTGCTGAGAACTTTCCTAATACACCCTCAAAGTCGAGTCGGGCCATGCTCCTCCCCTGCTCTCCCTATATCACTTGTCTGTTCCCTCACCAGGCAGAGACCCCTGAGAGGACTAAGTCCTGGTCACCACTATCTCTCTGGCCTTGGAGAGCCCAGCCCAGACACCCTAGGGCAGGGAGGAAGAAGAAAAGAACAAGTGACTCACTGTCATTGGCATTCTCTGAGCTTGGCTCTGAACCCTGTGACAGGGCTTGGGAAGCCAGTACTCCCTGGGCTTGGTAGGGCTGTGGGAGGGGGAGCAGGCCCTGGCTCAGCTCCCGTCCACCCAATGGTAGCGTCTGCTGATCCATCCTTGTGCCCAGGGGCAGCTTCTGCTCTGCCTCTGTCAGGGATGGCAAGACAGGCTGGTGACAAAAGGGAGGCTCCAAGCTGGTCACCCTACTCCCAGAGCACAGGCCCCTCAACCTTCTCCCCACTCCCATCAACGTCCCAAGGAGGGGGAAGGCATAAGGACCTCACCTGACTTGGGCACACCACATTTGAAGCACTTCTCACGGCGTTTGAAGTTCTGGACACCACACTGTGAGGCACAGGCCAGGCCGTCAGAGGGGGTGGAGCTTTCTGTTGCACCCTCCAAACTTGGATCCAGAGATCCCCCCAGGGAACCCCACCATGCCCCAGGGAAGGGTGGCCCGAGAGTCAGGGGAGGCAGGGGGCTCTGGGGTTCTGGCTATCATTCTCAGGTCTGTGACTCTCCCCTTTACGTGGTCTCAAATTTGTTCTCAGTGTCACTCTCTCATCTCAGGAATCGACAACTTCCCCACTCATTACAACTGCTGCCTCCTCTGAAATACCAACTCCTAGGACTGTCCCCCAATGCCTTTTAGTAGGTTCTGCTTCCCAAAACTTGCTTCTCTGTTTAGGCACCTCCAGTATTTCTATCCCTAAAAGCCAGAAGTCCCTCTCTTGCCATATTTCTCTCCATTTCAAGGCCAGGTACTGAGTACTACTCCTGTGCCAGACTTTGCCCTGCATGCTCAGGAAGTGGCCTTTCTCTCATGGCCTACCGGCGGGGAGCAGATGTAGCAGATAGACAGGTTAGTCTGTGGGTACGGTCACCAACAGGGGTTCAGGAAAGGGAGTGGGCCAAGAGGGGCACTGCTCACTCAGCTGGCAATAGTCAGCAGGGATATTTGATCTGGGAGACCCAAAAGTTTGGTTTGATGTGGTTTTGCTGGGAAGCGAATGCTAAGAGAGAGAACAAGAGGTTTTCTGTAGGAGAGAGGCAAAAGCCAAGGCTAGAGAGGGAAGGTGATGCTAGATTATGGAGGACTGTCCTGCCTCAGCTCAGACTTGTGGGAGTTTTAAGTAGAGGAAAAGGGACGTGGTCAGAGGTGGTTATGAGGAATGTTATAGGTGAGAGGGTGGAAGAAAGAGGCAAGAGGCTAGCACTATTAAGGGGTCCGTGGTGACTCTCTGGGAGAGTGGGCGAGGACTGGCCTGTACAGGCAGAATGACAAGGGAGAGCATTTCTGTGACAGGAGTGACAGGACCTGGTGACCAATAAGATGTGAGGAGTAAAGGAGAGGAAAGTAGAGAATTCCCTGGTTTCTAGACATATCTGAAAATATAGGAGGAATGAAGTTCCACTGTAACTGTCCCACCTTTCCAGAGACAGTGGACACCTGCCTTCCGATATTAACGAATAGACGCCACCCCGCACCCCATTACTAGGCAGAGTTCTTCTTGGGGAGAGAGTTGGGGGTCTCTGAAAGCTCTTAATCCTACCCTTAGGTCTCAGAACTGCCAGCCAGCTGCAGGAGGTAGAGCTGTGCCTCAGGGCTGCTTGTGAGGCTGGCCCCAGGGGAGGCCTGAACCCACAGTGGCATCCACGGCCCTGTGGTCAGGAACACGTCATGGCTCAAGGCTCACTCACGGTTCCTTCTCTTGAGCCTTGGCTTCCTCTTTGGGAATATGACTGCTTGTACCCTCTGTCTCAGGTGGACATGGCTTTGTTAGAGTGGCCTTCAAAGTTGGGTCACCTGACATAGGCTCTCAGAACACCCTGTGCTTTTCTTCAGAAGAACAGCTGACATTAAACAGTGCTAACTGTAGGCCAGGTGTTGTTCCAAGCGTTACTCTCTCATAATCACATTTTAATCTTCCCAAATTACCTTTGAGGAGAGGTGTCATTACTCTTTGCATTTTAGAGATAGGAAAGTGAGGCACAGAGAGGTTAAGAGCTTTGATCAAAATCAAGGCAGATGCAGGAGAGTTTAATTTCAGCCAGTTTGGTTCTGAGGTCCACATTTTACACATCATGGTATGCCTCCACTGTCACTAGTCATTTGTGTAAATATCTGTTGACAGTCTATTGGGACTTAAGGCAAGATAGTGCTTCATAAGAGCAGAGCCTAGCACTGAGTGAAAGCTCACTACACATTGGTGGGTGGGTGGGTGGCAAGGAATGATAGCTACTTGAGCTAAGCCAGTCCACACCACCTCAGAGGCCCCAAGGAGTCAGAGACGTTGCCACCACTGTTGCTGCCTCGGTCCATGATAACTGCTGCCCACTGCCCCTGTACCTTATTACACAGCCAGTCCTCATTGATCTTGGGCTTGGGGTCGCTGTAGTGCATGGATACCTTCTGGCCCAGGATGTTGAGGGAATGCTGCAGGAAAAAGCAGAGCCGAGTGAGGCGCAGGCAGCAGTGCCCCACGCACCGTTTCAGCACAGGAGAAGAGAGTGAGCGAGCCCTTCAGCTGGATGGATGAGGGACAGGGAATGGAGGGAGGTAGGAGAACGGACGAGGGAAGAAGGAAGGGAAGGAGGGAGGGAAAGCACCACAGCCCTCGGGCGCAGCTGTTTGCTGCTTTTCAGGGCACGCGCACACACACGTGAACACACGCCACCAGGCACACAGTGCTCGGCTGACTGACGCTTGCCGGACAGTGGGGAAAAGCCCCCACTCGGCCCTGACACTGCCAGGCCACACCCAGGGCCAGCACTACACAGGCTATACTTGGGATGAGGGGGGATGGGAAGGGAGGGAGAGAAAGAAAGAGAGAGCGCACGCGCACTAGTGCTAGAGAAGGGGAAAAAGAAAGAGCCATATTGAAAAAATGGAAGTTCTTGCTGGGAGGCTGTCTTCCTGTGGCTGGCTGGGTTCTGGGCCCATGGCACTAGCCTATGGACCGGAAGAGATAGCCCCATGGCTGGCCCTACGGAACTCCCTTCCAGCACACCTGCCCCTCCTCCCGAGGCTTTCCTTTAGTGCTGCACACCAGTGAGCTGGGCTCTGGGTGGGCAAGCAGAGCAGATCCTTGGGTCTCTGAAGGTCCCAAAGCTGCTGGGTTGCAAGCCTGTGCCAGGCTGGGGGAGCAGACTCCTTCCCAGCAGCACAGCTCCTTGCTGAGAGGGTAGGCCTGCCCCCAGAGGAGCAAGGCAAGTGGTGATTCCTGTGGGATCACCTACCCTGTGGGGAGTAGGTGCAGTGGGAGGGATGGGGCAACCAGGTGAGTCCCAGTGAATGAAACTATCACACTTGACTGGTACTTTAGATCAACAGAGCAGTGCTGGCTTTTTGTGTGGGAATCAAAGGGCCGAACTCACATGCAGGGATAGCTGGCAAAACGGGACTTGCTAGTTAGTGTGCCAACAGCTAACTTCCCCCGTGGCTGAATTTCCAGTGGTGTCTGAGAGTGGAACGAAGTACTGGCTCTGCCTAACCCCAGAGCAGGGCAGTCTCCTGGGGAGTGGGAACCTACATGGAAGACACTCCCCACCACATACCCCCCTCCCCCGCCCCCATAGCCCTTTCTCTGAAAGCTCAGCTGGGAGAGATGGAGGGGCAGAGCTAGTGCCTGGCATCGGGTGGGGCCAGTGATATGTGGGTTCTTGATGGGCAGCCCAGTGGGTAGCGAGAGATGGGAAGAGGAGAAAGGGTCAGGAAGGGGGAGAGAGAGAGGGTGGGGGGGATGGGACACAGGGCCACAGGGCAGGGAACTGTGTCCATAAGAATCAGGCGATGGGGAGAGCGCTCGATTACAAAGTAGTATTTGTTTGGGGGGGGGTTCAAGTGCGGCAAAGCAACCTGATTGGCTTCCATCCATCGTGTAGCGTCCTGCAAGTGACTAAACTCGACGAAGGCGAAGCCCCGGCTCTGACCTGGAGACAGCATTCAGATACAGACGCAGTGGGTTAGTCAACAGCTTTGGACACACGGCGCTCCCGGGGGCGGGACCCGAGGGGAGAGGACGGGGGCAGAGAGGGAAGGGGGGAGAGGAGAAAGGAAAAAAGGAAAAGAGAGAAGCAATCAGAGAGAGAAAGACCAGGGGGTGGGAGGCAAAGTAGATGGCCGGGAAGGGCAGGTAAGAGAGAAGGAGGTGGGAGGAAACAGCCAGAGAGAAGTGGGTGGGTGGGGAGAGATATACACGCGCCAGCTGAGAAGACAGAGAGATGGGGCTCAGGCAAGACGTGCCTGGTCAGCCTAGGGTGACAGAGACAGAGAGAAGGAACTGGGAGGGAAAAGGTACAAATAAAGGTCTCCAGAAAATGATGGAGGGCAGATGGGCAGGCTGCTGGCTCCACATAGGGCAGAAAAAATAACCCAAGGGTGGGGCCCATCACAAAGCCAGGGGCACCCAGGAGGGGCCCTGTAACAGGTGTTTAATCAATGGAGCAAAAGAGAAGCTGAGCTACTCAGTGAGGCCAAGAAGGCTCCAGGCCCATCAGGAACTGGGAGAGTTAGGAACGTAATATCACCTCAGCCTCACCACAGTGCACAGGTGGTGGGCCTTACAAGGGAGCCACCTCAAGGCCAAGCTGGGAAGAGTACAACCACCCACAGTCCAGGTCCTCCTAGACAGCAGGAGAATGGAGTCAGGATTGGCCAGGCAGACCTTAAAGAATCAGTGGGTTTCTGGGAGAAGTGCCCAGGGCCACAGAGCAGGCTGTACCTGGGAGACCGCTTTGGGGAGAGAGACCAGAATCCTGGCAGCACGTGGTTTGGCTGGGGTGAAGCAGAGCAAGACCTGCATGCTACCATGAGAAACTCCAGGCCTTGCCAGGGCTGGGAAAGGAACCCAGGGCTTGAGGCTGCAGGAAGAAGCTCTTCCTTTGGAGGTAAACAAACAGGGAGGGCTTAGATGTGGCAGGGCTTGGGGGTACATGCTTGATCACTAAAAAGAAGAACCGTTAAGATGCACAGGTATGATGAAAGAGAGATAGAGATATAGAGATAGAGAGATAGATAGAGACAGACAGACAGATATGGAGGTATGGGGAAGAGAGAGGCTGAGAGATGGAGAGAGAAGACCAGGCAGAGTGAGGCCCCACTGTGCCTGCCTTGGGGAGGCTGGGCCAGATATCCTGTAGAGACCGCTCCCCTCTACCCCCCTGCTACCCTCAGGCCAGCTCCAAGCAGCCTGCAAGAGGGAGGGAAGGGACAAGTGAGGCCAGAAGTCTTGGCTGCTCCTGGGATGAGCCCTGGGACGAGAGCCTTCCCCTGCCTCCCCTCTTGGGACACACGGTGGAGCTGTGTCAGACCTACTTTCTGGTCAGATGCTGTTACCAGAAAAATCTGAGGAAGAGTGAGGGCAGGGGAAGAAGAAGAAAGGAGAGGGGAGGGAGCATATTGGGAGGGGTTACCATCTCAGATACGCAGAGTCCCAGAGAGGAGGGTCCCTGGAGCTTGAGACTGGCCCTGGCCCTGGCTCTGGGAACACTCAGCTCAGCTCAGAGCTATACCCCCTCCCCAACAGGCCTGTGCCAAGAGGCTGCTGTCCAGAGCTGTGAGGAGAGTGGCATGAGGGCGAAAGAAGAGGGGTATCCCCGAGCTGCCCATTCCCACCTGTGGCAGGAAGGCAGGGTAGGGAGGGTGTGGAGGAGGAGGTAGAGGCAAGAGGGAGACTTGGAAGCGGAGGCTGGCCAGCGGAAGGGGAGGGCACTGGGAACGAAAGCTCACCTGAGGATTTGTTCCGCATCAGCCGGACCTCCCGGGCTTGGACACCATGCGACTGCAGCTGGCCACGGATCTGTATGAGGAGATACAGATTTGGGGCAGGCTCAGCACAAGGGGGCTGCTGAGTAGCTGAGGCCAGATTGAGGCCTCCAGGGCCCCATGGGGCCATCAGTGATGTGCACACACCATCTTCCCCGTCTCTCTCTCAGGGCTTTTTTGACCACAGCCCCAGACCCACACCAGTATCCAGTCTCAGTTTTTGGCCCCAGACTTTCAGAGTGAGTCAAATGAAGAAAGGGGCATGTGCAAGGTGAAGCATGGAAGCATGATGACTCTCAGGGGTGGAGAATAAGAGCAAGCAAGCTTGCAGATCAAGAATGGTGGGCAGTGGAGGTCTACAGGCATGGTCCAGCCGCAAAGTGAGGAAAGTTGGGATGTAATTCTGGCCCTTTCCAAAGGGGCTGCCCTCTGCTTGCATCAAGAGACCCATAACACAAATACAAAACTGAGGACTGGAGTCTGAGCAAACCCAAGCCATGTGTCCTAGACCCCGAGTGCAGCAGTTACTTGGGGTGGAAACAAAAAGGCATGGTGTGGGGTTTGAAAAGCTTCCTGGATAAAGTAAGCCAGAGAGAAGCTGCAGAGGCAATTCAGGTTTCTAGGCTAGTGGTGCCTCTCACAGAGGACTGGGAGCCTGCGCTGGGCATTTTCAGGCAGCAGTCTTAATGACTCTGGGCCTCAGTTTCCTTATTAGGTTAAACAACAGAAAGGAGATCTCTCTCATGTGCATGCATGGTCATAGAAGAATAAAAAAGGACACACGGAGTTTATCAGTACCGCAACTACTCAGGGAAGGCTCAGGAAACAGCAAGAATGCAGACTCTGGGGCCCAGCTGCCCGGTTTCAGACCCCAACTCTGCTCTGCCACTCACTGGCTGTGGGATGTGAGGCAAGTCGATTCACTGCTGGGGGCCTGGCTTCCTCATCTATGAGATGGAGATACAAAGTACCTTCTCTGTGAAGTGTTTGTGATGATTAAATCAGACCTGGCATGTGGCCCATCCTATGATAAATCCTCAAGAAATGTCAGCACTCAGCTACTCTCTAATCCTGAACAGGGCAGGTGGGTCAGACTTGAGAAGTTTGCAAATACACAGGTAGGATTTTCTCTCTGACAAAAGGGGCAGCCAGCAGATTTCAAAGGAGAGCTGAGCAGAGAATTCATGGTGGGACGGGGAGTAAGGAGGAGAATCAGGGAGGCTATTCTAGCGGCCCTCTTGGGGTTTTACTGGGGCTCCTTAAGATAAGTCTGTAGGAAAAGGAAACGGGAGAAATGGGAGGAAGATGGAAGGGAATGCCACAAAGGAAAACAGGGTAGGAAGGCTATCGGCAGCAGAGAAGGAAATCAAAGAAAAACCCAAGGCTCTGTGGCCAGACCATTGAGGAGACCTGATGTTGGCAACAAAAAGAGATGATGGTGGGGGGGGGGATGAGAATAAAACCTCAGAAAATCCCATGGGGATTCTCCCCACCTACATCATCTCTGCCACTAGCAACATACCCAGCATTGGACCTGGCACTGGGCCTGGCCAGCATCTGGCCCTCAATCAACATATGCATAACGGATGGACAACCAGTGGAATGTGCAGGAGGAATGTTCTGTTTTCTCTCACACTCACCACTGGCAGCTCCTTGGGCAAGCCAACCTATTGGACACCCCTCCCTTCTAGACCAGGAGAGGCCTGCCCAGAGGACAGGGGGACAGGAGCCGGTGGGAGAGAAGAGATGAAAGGTGCTGAGGTCGGGAATGAGGGAGAAGTTGAGGGCCCTGGAGGAGACCCAGCCTGGCCTTCTGCTCTGCCGCCTGCCCGGGGCCATGGGGGGCACGTACGTCATCCTCAGTGGCTGCCTGTGGCAGCATCCTCAGCATGACGATGTTACTGGCCTTCTCCTCCT